TATATAATAATAATAATAATAATAATAATAATAATAATAATAATTTTACTATGTATATATAATGCTTATTATTATTATTATTGACTTTTTCTTTATTTTTTTTTAAATATGCATATGTGAACTGCTCACAAAATTTTAACTTCTCATAAGCATATGTTTTCACCTCACATCACAACTATATATGATTACATGTGAAACACTTTATTAATAATTTCACTATTTAAAATATGTCAGGATAACCCATTTATGAAATAAGTGATGGTTAAGAATTTTTTTATATGCAAAAAAGATGTCCTACATCAGGGCAGAGCCAGGATTTTTTTCATGTGAGGGCACAGATCGTTGAAGTAAAAAAAAAAACCCCTCAATTTTAAAATTTTCTTTCGAAATACCTTTCCATATCTAATTTCAATTAAAATGATATTAATAGGATTTATCAAGTAAAGAATTCAAAATATATTCTTTGTCAGCTTAAGGCCATAAAATCATATGTCCAACTAAGCCAAAAAAATAGATGTGAGAAAAATAGTTTAAAGATACTCTAATAAGAAGCTATCATTTAAATTTTTTGATATACTACACTCCACAATAATTCCATGTTTAAATAGAAAGAACAACAAAAAAAATCAGAAAGCTAGTTTGGCCAATTTTTCAACAGATGAGATGCTGAAGCTCCAAATTAACCTGAATTAATTCAGTCCAAGTTGAAGTTGCCAGCACTTCTTGCTAAAATATTCGAAGACGAAGCATGTGTAAACGAGTTAGGTTAGCTTATACCTCAGCAGGAATAAAACCATATAAATCATTGTCGGGAAATGTCGATTCGGAGAAGGAGAAGCCGACTGAGTCTTCTGATGGCTGCTGGGATCTCGCCAGAGAGATCGTTACCCGAGATGTATATGAATTTGAGATTGCGAATAGAGGAAATGAGGGGGAGAAGCGTGCCATTAAGTTGGTTGCCATGGAGATCGAGAATGCGAAGCTGGTCGAGATGGGAAAGTGAATCGAGCGAGCCGCGGAGGTCAAGCGATGGAAGAAATAGTGAAGTTACTCGACCAACGACGGAGCATTTAACACATCGCCATTGCCCAACGCAGGCGTCAGAGGTACCAGTTAGTAACGAGAATGCCGTGGATGTCGGCACGTTATCAGAGTTCAAGTATTAGGGCTTCCGTGAAGAGTAGAAGACATAGGTCGTCCGACTCTTTCGTTTCACGCGTTAAAAGCAGAACACGAATTTTGACCTTCCGCGAAGAGCCGAAGACGGAAGGTCGATTGTTTTATGCGTGAAAAGCAAAAGTCGGGATTGCGATTTGGGACGAAAAAAGAAATATAATAATACTATTTTGATTTAATTGGTAATTATTGAGTCATAAATACACTTAATTAGTGATTATTAATACAGTCAGCGGGGGCACGTGCCCCTAGTGCCCCCATGCTGCATCCGCCCCTGTCTTACATTCTTTTTTCATGAAGCCCAATTTGTCTTCTGATATTATTATTACAGTCACTTGATCCGAGTTGTAAAACATATGTGAAGATCAATAATGTTTCTTCGTTAAAGTGAACATTTCTTGAGAAAAATGTCAATAAAATTTGTGAGTTGACATACATCCTTTATTTATTACCAACCTTTTGAATCATAACAATATTTAGGATCTAGTTAAGATAAGAAACTTTCCAAATGAAGCTGCCCTATAGTAGCTTTTGGACCACACAACTGGTCAATGATGTTCAATTGCCATGGCGACTTAAAATTTTTATTCAATTGGCTTGCACAACTTTTCGATGTTCAATTGATGATGGGTAACATTGATGTTGACTTATGGTATTGCAGCCATGGATGAAGTGAATACATCATTATTCAATTAAAGTCAATGAGTTGAATTCGTTGCTCTCAATTGAAAGAATCATATGTGCATAAGATGCAACTTAGATCATCTCTTACAATTCCAATTTTGAGGCAACTTATCTCTAAACCTTGAGCTGGAGTAATTCTGCTTGAATGAAACCTGCCACCTTTTAGTAACATATCCATGATTGAATCATGTCTCCAAGAAAAGTAAGATTTCAACCTTATGCATGGAACTACATTGTGACATGTTACATCAAAATGACATCTCTGAAATTATTCAAGAGATGACAACTGAATATGACATTATGAGTGATTAGGGCATTTAATATGATAAGTAATCCATTATAATATATTAAAGATCACCCTCCCTTAAGTGATAAACAACATAATATGACATTTTGGTTTATAATACTCACTAGAAAAGCCATAGAGGGGGCTGCTTTTAGGTTATTATGTAGAAGGATTAAGGTTTATTCGATAAAAAATATGTTTAAAAGTAGTATTCATCTAACCCACTACATTATTAAGGATATTGCTAATTTGATAGTTGAAAATCAAAATAGTGACAATGATAGCATTATCACAAGGCTTGCTCATATCGAACTTATCAAATTTCAAAGATGATGATCAATAATTTTGTTAAATGGTGAAGTTAAGGTCGTATGAGCCGTGCCCAACTTGAGTTGCTTGAAGCTAGGCTACCTAAAGGCTTTAGACACTCCTCCAAGGATCATTGTGGTGAGTCTTGTTATATTATAATTGGCAATATTTTGAGAGGTCCCTTGTTGCTCTCAATAATCAACGCCTTGTGTGGGCATCTTCTTAGGTCAATAAGGATGAGTTCTTTAAACTTCCCAAAGTGAATCAATTATTTTATAAGGCTTTCAAAGTAGTGGAAATCCTTTATGATGTGAGTTGTGACCATCAACTTCTTAAAAAAAACATAAAATTTGGATGGGTAATTAAAATATGGAGTAGTGTATATTAGAGGTCGCAATGGAAGTATCTATCAAGGATGTCATATGTTATTACCACTAACAATACTCAGAGAGAGCAATTTATGAGCTAAATTAGGTGTCATATATGCTTGATGGAAATAAAAAATTCTCAGCCATGGGGGAAATGAGGAGCAATTTATGAGAAGCCCTTGAAAATATTTTAGATTATTTTCACCAAATGATACTCCATATTGCGTTAGTTGTGTATAAGTTATGTCGTGATGAGGCCACTTGTATGGAGACCTATTGTAGTCATTAATACGATCCATATTTTATTCAATATATTTTATGCTCATTGCATTAAATATGATATTGGTCCAAAATTATTTGTGAATAAAATACCAATACCTATCACATAAATGAATCAAATTCAAACTATGATAAGAATAAAGAGAAGCTAATTCTTAAAAAGTGCTTTGATAACCAATCTATATGGAACCTACCCTTGAAGAAAGAAGGGGTGAGTCAAAATAACTTTAGAAAAACAAAGCATTTGTGTATGACTTGCGCCTAATCATTAATTTCTTATTTATTTATAAAGACAAGGTCATCACTTTACAATTGGAAACATATGACAATTACAAAGAAAATAGTTAGGTGGAACTCGCTACTATACAACATGCTAGTTAGGCATGAAGCCAGCTTCCAGTCAGGGGGATTACAAACAAGCTCTCTCACAAGAAACTTTTCTTTATTGGCGAGCATTTGGGCAAGTTTTTCAAGTAGGCATCTCTTTATGAGTGGGCGATTTTATAGACCCCTTGGTCTAGTTCAATGGGCTTGTATGATGAGTCTAGCCATAACTAATTGAATTAGCTTGTTCAATTTATAATTTTACATTATTTAGCCAGTTTTGTATAACATAAGATTAAAGTAAATTTAAATGATCAACTTCTTGAACATACTTGAAGGATTCATAATGAATTTATTAATTATTTGATAATAATTCATGATGACTTAATTAATTTAACTCCAATGAATAAAGTTCTACAATTATATCAACCCAAATTAAATAAATTATATTTAAATAATATATGTATCTGAATTTCCTAGTGCAACTAAAGATGGCTTGAGCGCTATCACCCATCACTTCGGGGGTTTTCTTCCTGTCCGATGCATGGAGTCCGCGGCTGCGAGGGGCTCCCACGTCGGCTTTTCGCCTTCTATCCGGTCTCACTGCACTGTTCCTCCAAAGAGCTTTTCTGCCGGACCTTCTGGCTTCTTGTGTCGTCGTCGTCACAGATCGCCTCTTCCTCTACTCCGTGCTGTCTATACCCTCGATTCACACAACGGCGATGAACCCGTGGACGTGATAGGGATTGGGAGCAGGAAGGACTCAATCATTGATTTCTGCTTAGCTTCCCCTGCTGTCTCTGCTTCTCGTTTTAGATTCTGGTAATCCAACCGGCAAAACTTTCATTTGTAACTTAGAAGAGGTGTTTTTTGAGCAGATGGAAATTATGCATCACGCCATCTCAAAATGTTAAATGTTTACAGTTAATTTTTTGCTGTAATTTATTCGTTCCTTCATTTATATGTAGGATTTCTACAAACTATACCTTGTGTAAATCACATGTTTTTATCTATTCACGTTTTTAAATGTTCTACATTTCTGTTGTTGACACTGTATTTCTTTTAGGACAATTTATTCGAGAGATCAAAAGAAGGTCCAATTACTGGAAAGGTGCCATAGTAAAGGTTTTACCATCCATCCTTCTTATTTTGAAATTTTCTTGATGTAAGTTTTTATTTAGCTTATAAGAAGAAATGATTTGAGCTAAGTGGACTTGATCAATTTTGGATTTTTTTGTGCAGTAACTTTTCTCTTCATTCTCAGTTCTAATTTTATGTATGATTTTAATGAATTGTTATCTAACTGTAGAGGAAGATATGCAATAAAGAGGCTTGCCATTTATAGGAAGGGATAATTCAAAGCAAGTCTACTAAAGCCTGAAATCTGAATATATCCAATTTTCACATAAGTTTATACAGTAGGTTTCCACATTACTAGACATTTTTAGCATTTATGTCCGTTGCGGTGGACCTATTAGAGTGACAAGATTGGCAAGGAATAAGAGAGTGCCTGGACACTACTGAACTGAAGTTATGGAGTTTGAGCGTGTTTAGTGAAGAATGCTTTTTGAGGGCTTATTTGTTGATTACATGGATTACACCATCTTCAGATGCTTGTGTTTAAGTTTAACTTCATAAATTTGTGTTACTTCTATGCTTTTACATTCTAGTATTTCCATTTTGGTTAACGACCAAATATATCCTAAAACTAATATTTTGTATTAACCTTCAATTTGGTCTAGTTTTTTGGTCTAAGTATGCTTCAGGTGTTGATGGTTTCTGAAGTTTTGCTTTCAGAATTTAAATGCTAGAGAATGCCTTGGGGATACTTTTGCAATGAAATACACACATAAATGCTTATACATGAGCATTTTTTTGTTAAGGTCCTTCTCCTTATGGGCCTAGTTGTAAAAATATCTGAATGTCTGGAATACTTTAAGGAGCTGTTTGGTTGCCTGAAAAGAAAATATAGTGTAAAGTAAATACGATGTAAAGTAAATGTAGTGTATTCCGAATACTTTGAGACTGTTTGGTTGTCTGCAAAATAAACGCAGGAGAATTTTTTCCCTTGTTTGATTAGGTAGATCTAGAATAAAGTAAAAGTATTTTTTTTGTCATAATTAATTTTGGATTATGTCCCTTCTATAACCACTGCTAAAAAACTATTAAAAGGGAAAATATTGAGTCAGGATATCAGGACAAAAAATTTTGAGAAATGTGGATTGCCAAAGCACAATTTTTTATGTAGACGGAATTCCATCTCAAAAACTTTGATAAACTATCAAGAAATTCATCAACTACACCAGCTGACATGCGCAAAGGCGTAAAAAATAAGAGGAAGAATGGGAAAAAGTGAATACAATACAATTACAGGAAGATAAAAAAATGAGTAATTTCCTTTTGTAATCTTGATTAAGCTTAGATGAAAATCGGAATGACAGCTACGCCCAGAATGTCAAAGAAAATCTGAAACCAACAACATCTTCAATTTCTCAAAAAGAATTGAGATACTAAAAATTCCGAAGAACTAAAGAGGATAACAAATAAGTAGGAATTCAGAAGCAATTCTGTAAAAAATGACCAACAAAGCCGAAAGGGAGAATAAGTGCCTCCAACTCAGTTTCCAGTAGCAGAGAACAAAAGACACCAAAATATACACATCGACGCCGCATGAACATATGCAGGACATGCAAAATCTATGGGAAAGATAAATTTCTCTTTCATTAAACAATAACAAAAATAGCAGAGACACGACAACAGATATCCAATATGCTAATCAAATAATTAGTAAACGCATACGCGCAGTCGCACTTGGAATCGTCGGCAGTTGGTTCGAGATCCCGAAAGCTGCGAAGCTGATAAGGCTAGGGTTCTTATGAGGCTGTCGCAGCGGCTATGATGAAGCAAATGACAAGCGACTCGTTGGAAGCTTTGCCCCACGCGAACCAGGTAGAGGTTTTGTAACCCGCTCAATTTGAGCAGGTTTTGAAGTCACGCAAACGGCCTGTCACAATACACCGCTGATGCTTCGGAGGAATTACTTACGTTCCGCTCAAAACCAACCAAACGACCTAATTTACGAAATGCACGTAAGTTAATTACTTTACTCTTCTAATTCTGCATACCAAACAGCCCCTAACTGAGACTTTATTTTGATTAATGGACGCATTATGCCAATGTTTTGGAGGAGATACAATAGTTTTATTCATATGTGCTTCCAAGACTAAATAGCGCAATTTATTAGCAATAAATTTAATGAACCTTTATTTTCTTAACTTAAAGAAATATGCAGTGATTTTTGATGAAAGTTCAAAAGTTTTGTGAATTTTTTGTTTTGTTTTTGGAAGTAATTTTTGACATTATAAAGGGAGAAAAAGATACTTTGTGTAGCCACTTGAGAATAAAAGGTCTTAGTCTGTGACTTCCTTTTTTGAGATTTGGAGAAGCTAGAGGTCAAGACAATATCAGATAATACATATCTAGATTTGTTAGCTCAGATGATTATTCAGCTACTTTGAAGGAAATAATTCAGGAAGCTCAGAAGTCAGATACAAAGTATCTGCAATTAATTGATTTGATCAAACTGGTAAGAAAACTAAAATGCGAGTATTTGATTATGGTGTCATTTCTTGCAAGAATAGATTTTAGGTTTCTTTTATTGGTAGGTTGAGTGCTGAGATTTTACATGAGGCATATTATTCAAGCTACACTATTCATCCATGAAACAATAAGATATATAGAGATTTGAAAAGTATGTTCTAGTGGCTTGGATTGAAGAATGATATAACATAGTTTGTATCAAAGTGTGAGGCTTGTTAGTTAGTGAAGACAGAGAAATTACAACTGGTCATTTTCTGTAGTAGTTTCCTATTCCAGAGTGGAAATTGGAAGATGTGCTGATGGATTTTTCTATGGGTTTTATTAGATCAAGACAGGGCCAAGATGCTATTTGGGTTATTGTTGATTGACTGACGAAGTCTGTGCATTTCATTCTGATCCAATAGACGGATCCAGTAGATAGGTTAGCACATATATATGCTAGAGTTATTATTAGATTGCATGGTGTGCCCAAGGTCGTGATGATCGATTTTTCTCTAGGTTATAAAGAGGTATTCAATAGGGATTGTGTACAAAATTGTATTTTGGTATAACTTTTCTTTTATAGATAGACAAATATTTCGGACTATTCAGGTACTGGAGGATCTTCTAAGACTGTGTTCCGGATGTTGGAGGTAGTTGGGAGGAACATATTTTCCTGACAGAGTTTGCTTATAATAATAATTATCAGTCCAGTATAAGTATGAATTCTTATAAAGTTCTGTACGTAGGAAGTGCATGACCCCTTTATATTTGACAGAGGTGGGTGATAGACATGTGATATGATCTACTTTTATGGACAACACTACAATAAAGATCAATCTGATCAGAGAAAGGTTGACATATGGACATGATAGGTAGAATAAATATTATGATTAGGAGCACAGGCTGGTTGAATTTCAGGTTGACAATTTTGAAATGAATATATTAGAGGTATGATGGGAGCAACATCTATTTAAGGGTAGTAGAAAGTAGACTATGGCTATTTGGGCATGTACAAAAAGGAGAAGAGGCTGCACTAATTAGACATGTTGATAAAATTAATATAAAATTATTATGAAGAAGAAGATTTAGGCTGTAAATAAAAAGATATGTGCAAAGATATGTTTAACACTTTAGGCAACACTTAACAAGGATGAATAGATAATGAAGATTAAAAAAGGCAACCCTAAATTATTAGGATGACTAATGATGATGAACCAATCAGTATTTAAACCAACAAATAAACCATATTAGTTAGAAACTGAGCTGGTTTAGACCCAAAGAAAAAAATCTAACTCTAATAGATTAATTTCAATCTTACAAGGCCCACTAGTTTTTGAGCTAGGAAAAAAAATATGTAGAGGCAAATTACTAGTTTAGTCTTCATACAATTCGCTTAACCTAGACCGAGCCATCCTACCTTTTTCCTAGTTAATCAGAATGAAATTGATTTGTTGAACCAACATATTTTGATCTATTTTGAACAAAAATCTACTTAATTTTGCCAAGCTTACTTAGTTTAGTACCCATTGATGGCATTCAAAATTGTGAATTCAAACTAATTAGTCTTATTTGGTTGAGCCAAAATTGGAGTTCTGCTAACTTTGTTTGGTTTTAGTTAAACTATTGGAGTTAGAACTTTTAATTTTATTCAATTAAAAACAAATTGAAACTGTCTCAAATTTGAATTATGTTATTTTTGCTTGATTGATTCCTTTAAGCACTGGCTAAACTTCATTGTCCTTGATAATTTTGAATTGAATGATTAGTTAAACTAAAACATAATCTATCAAGCATAATTTGGTCATGCTTTACTAGAAATGAACTTTTTTATTGTGAAAATTTTGTTATTAGTCAATAAAAAGCATATAACTGAATCAATTGTAAAAAATTGATGGATGAAATAGCTAAAAATAAAATACTCAATCAAGGTCAATTATGTAGCCGATTGATCATGATACATATATGGAGGTCAACACTTATATGCAAACTCAATGTTAATTGTTAAGAAAGTAATTTGGATGTCCATGATCTTCAGTGAAACATGTCATCATCAGATGCCATTTAATTTCAGTGATGCTTAAAACATCACTCTTAGTAAGTAGAATGTCATCAACATATATAATAAGAATCACAATGTTGGTAGAATAATGTCGAATAAAGATAAATTGATGAATAATATACTTTTTTGTCCAACATTGACAAGAACCTTGCAAAGTTTGTCAAATTAGGCATGAGGATTTTGTTTCAGGCCATATAGCTCTCGAAAATTTATTTTTTATTTTTTGTTCTTCCCTTAAACAACATACTATGGAGGTTGCTCCATATAAACAACTTGCAAGATCCCTATTGGGAAAAATATTATTCGCTACCACGTGGAATATAAGCCAACCTTGATAATGGCAATAGAGAGAAGAAGATGAACCAAATTTAGCTGTGCTGTTGGGGAATTACTCCATATTGTGGACCTGTCCACATAATATGATCTTTTAGTAATCCGCTTCAAGTAGTAGCTTGATAAGAACCTAAAATTGGTTGACTCACATATTTTAATTAAGGGTTATGTAGGTATATTTCTTTATTAGCATAAGAATTATACTTTAAAATATTTAAATATTATTTCAGACTTATTTTTATTGCATACTTTTTTTCTTAAATAAAAGTTGACTTACACAAAATCTTCTGGCCATATAATTTGCTCTCAAAATTATACTATTTACATAAAATATTTATTTATTTTTAGAAATTCACCAATTTAAAAACAATTTAGTTTCATGAATTAGGAGTTCGGAACGTAGAAGCCATCAAAATTTCATCATCGTGTCACTAAGCTCCAATGACATCATCCTGCCCCCATTTTGACTACTGAAAATCAATAAACCCTATGAAATCTGAAGATACAATAAAGGGATCTCCATTAAATTAATTAACTTGACTATTCAGGAAATATACAGCGTTTGAAATCACAAAAGTAACTTCCAAGGCACAATCATGAGAGTTTGGACCTTCGGTTATGGTGATAGAGGATGGGAATAAGGAAATTTGATACATTTCAATCAGATGTGCTCGATCATTATGGACGCTAATTCAAGCATAACTTTTGCAAAATACTTACTAGTTTTTCCTGATTGTTTTTGCGTCTTGTTATTTCGATAAACTTCTAATCCATGCCTTTGTGTGTCTGTTTCAGATGTGTTCATCAGAAATGTTGAATTTTCTCTGGCACCGCATTCATGCCTGCCAGCCACCATTCTTGTTAGTACATTTATTTATTCTTGATTATCTTTTCTTTATAGCTGGGAAGGAAGATTTGGCTTGCTATGTTTATGGTAATATATGAATGTTCTTTTGCATGGGCTCTCGTTCAATGTTCAGTTATGCAATTTTACTTCTGTGGTAACATAAGGTGAAGCAAAATACTCTCCAGATATATGTACTGCAAGATGTTGCTTGTTATCCAACTTTTATATTTTCTTATAGATCTCTTCAAAAATTTAATTTGGATTCGTAGTTTTAGTCCATTACAATTTTGTCATCATTTAGGGTTTAGGGTATAGTAAAACGATTATAGATATAGTAAAATGCAGATTGATTATTTTTTTATAAGAAAATTAGATTATTTAGATTGCAAAAATTGTAAAGTATTCCGAGTGAAATTTATGTGCCAAACATTGATTATTAGTTTTGGACTTTAAGATAAAGAGACAGAAAATAAAAAATAAAGTAAAATGATATTTTAGGATTAGATGCGAGCATTTAAAGAATATTAACAAAAATATTTTTGAGAGTAAGATTTTAGATCTTAAGATTTTGTCTGTGTATGAGGATGCTAATGTTATGTGGAAAAATGTGACTAGTGATATTAAGAATATTGCAAAAGATGTGTTTGGAGTTTTGAAGAGAAAAACTCCTAATAGTAAAAATAGTTGGCTGTGGAATCCAAGTGTGCAATAAAAGATAAAAAATAAGAATATTTGTTATTAAAAAAAAGATTTGTTATAAAAATTGGTTTAGATGTAAAAATTCTGATAATTGGGAAAGCTATAAAGAGGCTTGTAAGGAATCTGAGAAAGCTATTTGCGATGCAAAGAACTTAGCTTTTAATGATTTATATAATATATTAGATATTAAGGAGGGAAAAAAATAAGAAATAGAAGTAATAAGGATTTATATCAAGTGAAGTGTATTAAGGATGAAGATCAAAAAGTATTTTTCTTAGAAGATGATATTCAACAGGTAGATGAGATATTTTGCTAAACTTTTTAATTAAGAATGTGAAAATACGATTGACTTTAGAGACTTTAGCATCCTAAATGAAAATAAAGATTTTTATTTTTATCGACATATTAGTAAAACCAAAGTTAGAGAGGCTTTAAAGAAAATAAAGTGTTGAAAAGTTGTTGGACCTGATGATATTCTAATAGAGATGTGGAAATGCTTAGGAGATGAATGAATTTCTTGGCTTACTAAACTTTTAAATACTTTTTTAAAGACTAAAAAGAAGCCATATGAGTGGAGAATGAGTGTGTTAATTTCTATTTTTAAGAATAAAGGTTAAAGCCTTAGATATGAAAACTTGATAGCAGGAAAACAAAAAAAAAGACTCATTTAGATATTTTTTATTGAAGCTTGGTGAAAACATGAAAGTGATTGTAGATTTGTTCTAATTCCTGCCTTGTCTGGTAAATAGAATTTAAAATTTAATTAAAGTATCAGGTGATATCTTTTGACCGATAAAGTTGGATAGCTCTTACATTATCTTTAGCCTTTAGGATCCTACTAGGCATCCTAGGTCTAAGATGATCTTTCATTGTTTTTCCAGCATAGATAATGTGATCATTTTGTGATGACAATGCTATGGGGATATGATGTACAAATTTGTGTGTGATAATTACATTTATTTAATTCAGGATGACCCTTAAAACTTTCAAAGAAATTAAGCTAAAAAAATTTACAAGATGAACAATATGTTGGGATGCATTCAAATGCAACTTTCTATGAAAATCTAGTAGTGAAGGAGCCAGTTTGCTCCCTTTTTTAATTAAGAATTATATAGAGTGGATTGGTTGAAATAAAATAAGTGAATTGGAGGAAACAGATCCAAATTGGAGTGATAAGAGATTCTTCAGAAGAGTCAAATTGGGGTGACCGTTTTAGCATATGTATAAGACCTTCAAGAGAAATGTCTGGTGTAGTCTGCTTTCAAAGATTGTTTATTAATAGATGATGAGCATCAATGAGGCCAACAAAATGTTCACAAACTAAATGCAAAGTGGACATAAATTTGCAGATAACCGTGAGGTTGGGGCGACCCAATGAGAAATTGCCAACAATAGAAAAATAGAGAGGCCTAGTAAGATCTGAGTTCTCCTCGGCAGTGTAGATGGGAGCATGTTTGCTTTGATATATGAATGGATGCTTACAGGGAGCCTGATGAAAAAAAAGAAAAGAAAAAAGGAAGAGGTTGCTTGTTGAAGAGGAATTAAATCTTGAATCATTTAACTCATTGACAACAATTGCAGACGAATGAGGGTGGGTGATGCGGGCAAAAAATATAGGGGTGCCTTTACTCTTCACCCACAAATAGGAATACACACAGACGACACGAAACAAGACGACTTACGATGAAATTAGGATGAGATGGACGAGCAAACTCTTACATTTCAAATCTAAGACAAACTTAGAAATAAAAACTTACAACTCTTTAAAATTTAAACGACTAGCAAACAAGACGACACCCTAAAATTGCTTTACTTTGAGAAGAAAGATACGGATGGAGTGGCACTTGCGGAGAGACGAAAGAGGTTAGAAGCCGAGACGAAAGGTTGGAAAGAGCTCGCAAGATTTCCGGAGGGGATGAGAAAGAAGACGGACAAAGCTCGCAAGCTTTTCCAAGCAAACCCGCAGGTTATGCTTTTCTAAAAATAATATTTCATTCACCATTTTCAAACATTACAAGCCCCTCATATTTATAGATATGAAAGGGGAATACCAAAAGACAAACATTGCATTCTCATAGGAATTCCAAAAGACAAACATTAAAAAACTATTGCTTTTCACGGAAAAACAACCCAAGCCAAGGATAGCTAATAATGAGCTAACCCTTAGTTCAATAAGTGAACTAAAGACCAGCTCATAAATAAGCTAAAATTTCAGCTCAAATTTGATTGAGCTTGTAAACTTGAGGGAGGCCAAAATTGATTTATTTTGGACTTGAGTTGACCCCCCCTTTGTCTACATCAGTGGGGTAGCTGGAGGCCGAAATTCCAAAGGTGAGAAACAAGAGGAGCCTTTTTGAATCAATTAGCCACCAGGATCGGCGGTGATCTAACCAGGGGTTCATCCAAAACCCTAGGAGCAACCAATTTGCCAAAAATAGGAGGTGGGATCCATTGAAAAACTGATGGCAAATGGGGAGAAAGATCCAAATCGGAACCTAGACTGACAGTTGTGGCACCATCAAAAACCAGAAAAAATGAATGGGCTTGAGTACAAATTTGAAAGAATAGTGAAAATTCTTCGGAGAGAGAATTAGGAGAAGGAAAACAAGAGCCCTAGGTGTAGGAGGGATCAAGAGTGAAAGCCCCACTCGTGCACAAGCTCAAGGAAAAGTCAGGTGTCGATGTTAGAGTGCCCATGAATGATGTTGTCACAGAGCATGTGCACACGATCATGCGATTGAGCTCAAGTTCGGTCTAGTGTGGCCGATCATAGAGCTGTGAAAGTAGCCAATATGAGTCAGCTTGGTATTAGATGTGCACGATGTTTTGCGATGAAGTTGTAATGAATGAAATTGACACGAGTTTTAACTTTATTTTATTTTATTTTATTTTTTTAACACGAGTTTTAACTTATATAGGAATTTTAGATCCAATTAGGGTTAAGCTTTTTGTGAGTTATAGCATATATCAAGCCATGCTGTATTAGATACTCTACCTACATAATTTTGTCTCCTCAGGTGGCCAGCGCAGGACATGATTTGGATCAAATTGCTGCTTTAGATATTCTATGTAGCGTCAAATCAGTTGGTGGATTGGCCATTGCAATTGTACTGAAACCATTTAGTTTTGAGGGACAGCGAAGGCAGAAAGAGGTAGCACCAGAACTTCTAACTTGAATTCTTGTGGGTTATTCTTGTAAGTTTTACTTATGCAAACTGCTTTCTTAGCAAATAACATACGTTCTAGATCCATGCATGCTAATATACTGCATTTTTTTGGTGAGCTTAGTTCTGGCATTGTATACTTTGATAGGTTTGGGAACACTTTTGGGAATGGAATGCTTGGATATTTCAAGCACCGTTTCACACCATTGGATTTCCTTTTTCATGTATGTTGGGAATGAATCTTAACTGGCCTATGTCATAAATCTGTACTAGATTTCTTTCTCCACTCCTGCTCCATCGTTTTTGTTTTTGTGCAGGTTTTTGTTGGAAATTATTTTCCTTGGCTGTTAATCTACGTTGACGCTTGTGAAGCTAATAATGAAGAAAGTGTAACATATCTTTAATATGTGAACCGTGTTGGCAATTTTGAAAACCTTTAACAATTTTTGTATTGCTGTCATGGTCTCCCCAGATTAGTCCTCCATACATAATGAATAAAATCTTCCCTGGGCCCCACAAGGGGAGCCTAAATCCCCCCCTCTGCTGTCCCTGGTTCAGCCCAGCCAAAGGCTGGTTTGGCCAGGGCTGGGCCGATCGGTTGAGCTGACCTGGGCTGATCTGGCTGGGCTGGTTTGGGTCGACCAGGTGGTGTATCAGGCTCATCAATAATTATGTTTAGTGTATAAGCAAATTAGATTTGCATGTAGAATAATTCATTATGTGAAGTTTGCGGATGCAAGTATTTGCTCTTCAAGAAACAGATTGAATTATGTATTACAGCTATTTAAAGGATTGAATGAATTATAGGCAAACTTATCAAATGGTACATATGATAAGCCGTAGCTGTAGCTTGTTTATCACTTAAGCTCTTTAAACTGAAGCAAAGTAACAATTTTCATTAAAGCATTAGGGATATAGCCATGGATCTAGAAGAAAATACACCAAGAGAAAAAGTTCGAGAAATATAGGGCATAATAGATTATTACAGAGTAACCATGACGATTAAAGTTGATACATTTTCTGAAAAAGACAAGAAAATATGGGGTATATCAAGAGTTGAAGAGAGTCCTATAAAGAACCAAGCCATTACCAAAAACAACTAGTTGTTGCATCTTGAAATCAAAAGTCATATTCAAAATTCCTGAAGCATGCCAATCATCAAGCATAAAGTAGGCTGGCTAGTGCGGATGAGGCTAAAAATAATGCAAGGGATAACTTACAGCAACAATAGATAAAGCAAACAATCCAAGCCGGAAACTCTTTAAATAGTATGCTACTTCATTTATTTTCTAAAAGATTATACAACTACTGTTTTTTTTTTATATCTTAAATATTCTATTAGGTTATGGTGCCTTTTTTGTAGTAGTTCTTCAAAGAATATCAGAATAAATAATCCTTCTTTGATATATACTCATATGTTGCAGGTAAATGACTTGGTGAATAAGCTAAAATTGTGTTCAAATTTCTATGTTGGTATGTTTCCTTTTCAACATATCCATTCATTTATCCATACAATCATATGCAGGTTTTTTTGAATATGTATTTCAGAAGTATTTTGTTACAACTTTTTGTAAGTATGTTTAGATAGATTTAAGCGGCACTTTCAAATAACCCAACCTAGGGGTTATCGGATAACATGCCAGGCCTTCCTATCTTATCAATAAAGGCGTGTATAGGACATTGTGATCAAAGGTTTGTCTCCTACAACATCTATAAAAATGTGTGTAGTGTTCGAAACACTTTGATCAATTTTTTTGAACCCACTATGTCAACAAAGGCATGTATGGACATTTTAGAAGGTTCCCTACCTTAAACATGACATAAAATAACAATAAACTCCTCATTGAGTCAACAAAAATGCGTATGGGGAGCCTGTAAGTAGCTCGTAAAGTCTGTGTTATACGTTGCTTGGTGTGAGGGAGGAATTTGTGAGATTGTGGAGGAGATCAATGATGTGAGAGAGGGAAGAGAGTGGGAGAGAGCTTGAGCTTAGGAGAGGGCTTGGAGATGTTAAAATGTGAGTAAAGAAAGGGACGGGGTATGGGAGTGAGATTTAAAGTTTTATTTATTTTGATGGACCTCATCCTATATAAAGGCTTTTGGTGTAGCCATAGCTGTTTTGCGGGTGGAAACTTCCACCCCTATGCACACACATATACACTTATATCATACAAAGGGCATGTATGATTGCATGCGTAGGCGCCATAATGATTTGAATGGCTTTTGTTAGGCATAGGAAGGAGATGGGGGCTGAATTGACACCCTATTATGATCCTTTATTTATTTTTTGAAAAATAGATTTATCTTTCTTAAATTAAGATTTTTTTATTTATTGAACATATTATATGTGTATATATGTAATATTATTTTTCATTAACGCCTTCTATTTTTTTTACTAATTTTTTTGGAAGTTTTTGCGGGTGAGAACTCTTTAGCACGTCCCAAACCCGACCCAGAAAAATCTGGGTTCGGGTCATCCCGAACCCGAAACGGTTCAGCAAATCAACCCGTTTTAAAAATTGAGTCGGGTTCGGGTTGACCTAGCAACCCGAAATTGACACGAAAACTCATATATGACCCGAAAACCTGAGTTTGACCCGTTTTGACATGAAAATCGAAAATTGACCCGATTTTTGACCCAAAAACTAGCAATTTTGGGCCCACCCCGGGTCATTCGTGTTGGGTCAGGTTGACCTGGACCCGAATCGGGTCGGGTTGACTCGGACCCGAATCGGGTCGGGTTCGGGTCTGGAAACCTGACCTGTTTTTAAAAACGGGTCGGGTTCGGGTTGACCCGAATAGTGCCGGGTTAGTTCCAGGTTCGACCCGACCCGACCCGTTGACCCGAATTGACACCCCTACCCCACTTCAACTATCCAAGTTAAATTTTAATAATAATATCCCTATCTATTTCACAATCACTTTGAACAATGGACCCAACATATTTGAAACGTGCACTCTTTTTCATGACTTGATCACCCTATGTTACAATCCCTCCATTAGATCTATTACTAATATTACACTTCATGTATTTAATTTTTGATCTACTCAAATGAAACCCTATTAGACTTTAAGGTTGATCTCCATAATTGAAGTCTTCATCAACTCCCTCTCTAGTCTCATCAACAAGAATAATATCATTAGCAAAAGGTATACACCAAGGTACATTCTCTTGAAAATGTCTAGTAAGAACATCCATGACTAAAGCAAAATGATATGAGCTTAAAGAAGTTGATCCTTGATCTAATCCAACAAAAATAGAAAAATATTTGGTTAAACCATCTTCTGTTTGTGAACACAACTAACAATTCTTATATATATATATATATATATTCTTAATGACTTGTATAAGCATTATTAATTACTTTCTTTTCTAGAACTCTCCAGAGCGCTTCTCTTTAAACTTTATCATATGCTTTCTCTAAATCAATAAATATCATATGTAGATTACTCTCTTTATACTTCTCCATCAAATCTCTCAACAATTATATAGCTTCCATGTAGACCTATCAGAAGCGAATCTAGACTGATTTTGAGAGATATTAGAATCACGTCATAACCTATGCTCAATTATTTTCTCCAATAATTTAATATATGACACTTTAACTTAAATCCTCTACAATTCACACATTTTTGTGCATCACCTTTATTCTTAAAAAATTGAACTAAAAAACTACCGTTGCCGGGTCCCAATTCCTAGATGAGAAAAGTTGAGGGTTGTATTAAGTAATCAATAGCTAGTGTAAAATTTGTCAAACAATCGCGACATGAATCATTTAATACATTTTATTTATATTTTTCAAATTCTACTGAGGATAATAAATCAATATAGTTCATTGCAATATCCCAAGCTTATTTTTGGATGATAAGGCACGGCAACTCTAAGAATAGAAGGGCTTTAAATTTCCCAGACAAGAGTTCATGTTAGAGTATTGTTTGATTTTGTTTTCTCTGTTATATTTTCTATTTTGGCTTCTTTTTAATCATGTAACTGTATAATTTATTTATTTTTTTCACTCAATAAGGGGTCTCCCTCCGCAAAAGTCCTTTTATATATATTGAGATTAGCGCCGGATCGTTGAGTTTGCCTGCTAAGTTGTTCTAGTAACTTATTGTTTTTTACCCAGAATGATTATATTCTCGACTTTGACTTGGTATTTAACATATTTTGGCTTTTCAGTAAGACTAATTATTTCTTATAACTGCTTGACAAAAGTGTTACAGATTGATGTGCTTTTATTGGTTTCTTCTTTTATCCTTTTTTCTCAGTAGTGGAAGCGGATTCTTTCTTCAAAGCTGAAATTGGAACTCTCGCGGAGGCTTTAGAAAGTGCTAATAATACTGTCCTTCTAGCTATGTGGACCATCTCAAGTATGATTTCTGTACGTTATCTTCTCTTGGAATGTACTATCCAGAGTGTTTTTATTTTTAATTTTATTTTTGTCTAACCATGCCTAAAATTTTGATTCTAGAATACCCATGCAAATATGTTATGCACATCTGAGGGTAAAGTCAAGGATGTCAAGCCATCAGAAGTTATGAAGGTATGTTGCTATCATATGATGTTATCTTAATGTAAGAAAAAAATGCCTTTTTTGACATTTATCTGCTTTCGGCTGTATCATGGAGAACTCAAGGTTTACTTGTTAAAATTCATCCAATAGGTATTTGACGGCTATGGAGAATTGAAAATTTATCATGGAGCAGGTTACAGTGTTAATGCAGCCATCATGCAGGCTATCTTCCACTGTCCTTTATTTGTTGATGGTCTAAAGGTAGTACTCCTGGTTGTGTACCTTTTTCTTTTGTTGAATATTGTGTTTCTCCGCAGCTCCCCTTCCCGCCTTTCTTTTTATTTCATGCCTTATTTTGATATTTTCCTTCTACATCATTTCATGTTCATTTAACCTATGGGATTTGGTGCATCAACTGAAGTTAGGAAGAGAAGGGTTATGATGCCCATCAAATTTCTTTGGAAGAAGGGGATTAGAGATTAGAAGATTAAGAGCATAGGTAAATTAGCCTGGGTACTTGAATTTAGATGGTCTAGCATAACAAGATCAAGTAAGATCAAGTTGCGCATATTGAGCCATAAGCTCAAGCTTTATCTCAGATTTAAGCATATATTTTATGAGTTTGAGTTTGAGCTTAATGAGACTTAGCTGATTGGCTTGTGCTTCGACTTGATTAATTCCTTGTTGTCTGATATCCTTAATCATGTTTCTCCCTTGTCGATTAAATTCTCTTTGCTCATTCATTAACTCTAGGTAAACCCATGAATTAATACTTTAGCTGCATGTATCATGAGCTCCTATTCTTCTTTAAATGCTACTAGTCCCGTTGAACAAGCTCCCATCATGAAGCTATTGTCCAAGCCTTCTCCTTCAAGCTTTTGTAGCAGTGCTTCTCTAGTGAGCTGATGTCGCCATTGATGCGTTCTCTAGTTAGTTCCCATCATAATGCCTTCTTCTGCAAGCTACTGTTGTTGCTGATGCCTTCTTTAGTGAACTCTTGTCATCGTTGCCTTCTCCAATGAGCTGTAGTTATGATGCCTTCACCATTGATGTCTTATTCAGCAAACTCCTATTGTTGATGCCTTCTCCAATGAGTTACATTCATGGCACTTCTCCTATGAGCTCTCTGTTAGGCTGGTCCAGCCGGTCCTGTCTGGACTGGCTCTCGCGAAAAGGGGCGGAATTCTCCGCCTCCTGTACACAGGAGCCGACTGCCCACTCTTCAAGGAGCAATTTAGGAAGGATTTTCGGGGGAGTTTAGGAGGGAAATTGAATGTAGGGATTGTTTAGAGATTTCCTTTTGAATTCTATGCATTGAATAGTTTGTTTTTCCTACGGTTAGGGCTTCTTGAATTTGGCTGAAATTTGAGATCCCTTAAGTTTTCTTTGGGCTCTAGCGGTGTTTAGAGATTTGGGAGAGATAGATCCTCCTCGCGAATTGAGGATCAATTGGATCTTGTTATTTTTCTTTCGTTAGTTTGATTATCACAATAAAATTCATCTTTTCCTGATTTTTTCTTTGAAGTTTGGAAGAGTTTTCTCATTTTTTTTTTAAATTGATAGGATTTACTTGAAATCTTCAAGTGTTTCCTATCACTCTCTGCACGGTTTAAAAAATGTTGGAAGTTTGAGCTCATGATTCGAGCTCGAGCACACTGTTAATCTAACAAACCAAATTCAAGCTCAATATAGTTACTCAACCAAAGCGCAAGCTCTAGTTCAGCACCAACAAAATTTGGCGACTTGAGTTTGAGTTATCTATGACTCGAGCTCACTCTAGTCGCTTATACCCATAGATATGGTTAAAGTTATTGATGCAACAACAAAAAAAAAAAACTCTGAATAGATTGCAAACTAAAAGACAACTTTTCTTTCTTAAAACGTAGACAAATATAAACAAGATAACAATATTATTAAAACAAAGACACACAACAACTTATAAAAACTTGAGAAGAAAGATACAAGTGGAATGAAAACTGTGGAAAGAAGTAGTTAGAAGTCTGAGACGAATTTTTTAGGAGATAGTGAGGTTGAAGACAATAGCTCGCAAGCTATATAAACTCGTAGGTTTTTGTTTCAATCATTCTTCACAAAATCCTATCTTTTCTAGCAACCAAAACAACCCTATATTCAGGGAAAAAAAGATCCAAATGCCACATAAATGTGCCAACCCAAGTAGCCAATAGAAGTCTCACAAAATATTCTGTTTAATGAAGAGTTAATGCACTTAGTATAGGAAAACAGTAGGGTGGAAATTGAACAACGAGCAATAGGAAAAAAGGGGGACAACGCCATGGGAAAAACAACCAGCATAGGAAAATGAAATCTGCATGGAGAACATTAACAATCATCCGAAATTCGCATGGAAAACATTAGCATCCATTTGAAATTTGCATGGAGAACATTAACAACCAGTAAAATGGGAAAGGCTGCAGCATTGAAAATGAGTAGACAACATGAAAAACGAGAACACAACAGGAAAACTAAGTGAACAACAGGGAAAATGAAAAGCCACAGGAGAAAGAGCGCTAGAAACATAAGTAAAAAAATAATAATAATAAAATAACTAGCCTTGATTGCATCAAGTCTCCCATGGTGGAAGAAACTCGTCTACTGATGAGAAGGCCTCAAGAACACGTTGGAAGATATCTGGACGATGACGTTGCAACTCCACAACCAATCTGTTGATGAAAAGATATGGATTTCTTGGTTTGGTTCGTCAGGTTGAATGACCGTGATTCCATGATGTTCGGAATGTGTTCTTACTAATAATAGATCTTTCTCTTGAATTGAAACTTTGGCTTGTTGATTGTTTGACTTTCCTTTTTTTGTTTTTGATTTTTAAAGAGAAAGTAAGACTCATATGACAACCTAAAGCTCTGATACCAAATTGATGCAATAAAAAAATTGAGTATTGCAAACTCAAGTCTTCTTTACCATAAACATAACAATACTATTATAAATAAAGTCACACCTTACAACTTGTAAAAAAAACACACACACAAATTACGACGGAACGACACCTTACAACTTATAAAAATTTTAAGAAGAAAGATACAAGTGGAATGAAAATTGTGGAAAGAAGAAGTAGATAGAAGATCGAGACGAAATATTAGAAATAAGGTGGATAGGATAGCTCTCAAGTCTCAAGTTAAAAACCCATAGATTTCACATTCCAACAATTCTTCACAAATCTCTCATTTTTCTTAAGAGAAAGAAACTCCTACGACTACCTAAGCTCTGATATCAATTTGATGCAACAAAAAAAAAACACCGAATAGATTGCAAACTAAAAGACAATTTTTCTTCCTTAAAACATATACAAACATAAACAAAATAACAATATTATTAAAACAAAGACACGCTACAACTTATAAAAACTTGAGAAGAAAGATATAAGTGGAATGGAAACCATGGAGAGAAGTAGGTAGAAGTTCGAGACGAATTTTTTAGGAGATAGGGAGGTAGAATACAATAGCTCTCAAGCTATATAAACCTGTAGGTTTTTGTTCCAAACATTCTTCACAAAACCTTCTCTTTTACAACAACCAAAACAACCCTATATGTAGGGAAAAAGGTCCAAATGCCACATAAATGTGCCACCCCAAGTAGCCAAAAAAACCCTCACAAAATAATCCATTTAATGAGGAGTTAATGCACTTAGTATATGAAAACAATATGGTGGAAATCGAACAACCAACAACACTAAAAAAGGAGGACAACACCATGGGAAAAACAACCAACATAGGGAAATGAAATATGCATGGAGAACATTAACAACCATCCGGAATCTGCATGGAGAACATTAACAACCATTCAAAATCTGCATGGAGAGCATTAAAAGACAGCAAAATGGGAAAGACAACAACATGGAAAATGACTAAATGAGTAGCACAACATGGAAAATGAGAACACAATAGGAAAACTAAGTGAACAACAGGGAAAACAAAATGCCACAGGAGAAAGAGGGCTAGAAACCTAAGTGAAAAATAAAAAATATAAAATAGCAAGCCTTGATTGCATCAATTCTCTCATGGTTGAAGATTCTCATCTTCTGATGAGAATGCCTCAGGAACACGCTGGATGATATCTGGACGATGACGTTGCAACTCCACAACCAATTTGTTGATGAAAAGTTATGGTCCTTATGGATTACTTGGTTTGGTTCATCAGGTTGAATGATAGTGATTCCTTGATGTTCCGAATGCGTTCTTACTGATGACATATCTTCCTCTTGAATTTAAACTTTGGCTTGTTGATTGTTTTGACTTTCCTTTTTTTGTTTTTGATTTTTAAAGAAAAAGCAAGACTCATATGACAATCTAAAGCTCTGATACCAAATTGATGCAAAAAAAAAATTAAGAATTGCAAACTCAAGTCTTCCTTATCATAAACATAATAATACTACTATAAATAAAGACACACCTTACTTGTAAAAAAATAACAATAATTATGACGGAATGACACCTTACAACTTATTAAAATTTTAAGAAGAAAGATACAAGTGGAATGAAAACCGTAGAGAAAAGTTGATAGAAGATTGAGACAAAATAGAAGAAATAAGATAAATAAGATAGCTCGTAAGCTAAAATCTCGTTGGTTTCACATTCCAAATCTTTCTTTTTTTTAAAGAGAAAGGAACTCACACGACTACTTAAGCTTTGATACCAAATTGATGCAACAAAACAAAACACCGAATAGATTGCAAACTAAAAGGCAACTTTTCTTCCTTAAAACATAAACAAATATAAACAAGATAATAATATTATTAAAACAAAGACACTACAACTTATAAAATCTTGAGAAGAAAAATACAAGTGGAATGGAAACCGTGGAGAGAAGTAGGTAGAAGTTCGAGACAAATTTTTTAGGAGATAGGCAGGTAGAAGACAATAACTCGCAAGCTATATAAACCCGCAGGTTTTTGTTCTAAACATTCTTCACAAAACCCTCTCTTTTCTAGCAGCCAAATAGCCATATATGTAGGGAAAAAATGTCCAAATGACACATAAATGTGCCACCCTAAGTAGCCAATAGATGCCTCACAAAATTGCCCGTTTAATGAGGAGTTAATGCACTTAGTATAGGAAAACAGTAGGGTGAAAATCGAACAGCCAGCAACGGAAAAAAAGGGGGACAACACTATGAGAAAAACAAGCAGCATAGGGAAACAAAATCTGCATGGAGAACATTAACAACCATCCGAAATATGCATGGAGAGCATTAACAGCTAGCAAAGTGGGAAAGACAGTAGCATGGAGAATGAGTAGACAACATGGAAAACGAGAACACAACATGAGAATTAAGTTAACAACTAGAAAAACGAAAAGACATGATAAGAGGGCTAGAAACATAAGTGAAAAAAAAAAAATCATAAAATAGCTAGCCTTGATTGCATCAGTTCTAATCATAGCTTCGAGCTAATTTATGAAGATCCTGATCTGGTTGTATTCTAACATTTAAATTATTGGCTTTTATTTATCAAAATCTTAAGCATTTGTTGGCATTCTTTTGTTGATTGTGTAGGGTGATTACAACTCAAATAATGCATGAGCTTTTTATTGATAAGCTTTATATTGCGGTTTGGGGTTTGGTTTTTCCTTGAAATTTTATTTTATTTTGTACAGTTATGAATTATGGAGGGGTAACTGTTGTGGTCATTATTAACCTATAAACCTTCAGCCAACCACCCCTACCCACGACTCTGTGTGTGTCCCCACGATCTCACAACCGAACTACTAACATACAAACCCCTTCCTAGCCCGTTCGTCTCCCTCATTCCTTCCCTAGCTCTGTCACTCACAAACTACCTGCTCCGATCCCTTGCGTGCTCCAACCGAAATCTCTAGTCGCCATCCGTCTTAAAGGTGTATTACTATTTTCATAATCATGTTTAACCAATTATAATACTTAACTAATAAGTGATTTCTTATTTCTATTTCATGTTAATTTTTTTAGCAGTCTTTTGCATGCATTAGAAATAAGGTATTTTGAGGGAGGTACAAGTCAGGTTGACGAACATTGGCAGCAAGTTGTTATCATGTTAGCTGCCGCATTAATGGTGACGTGAGACGGTGAGAGTTACTGGCGTTTAGGTTTCTTTGAGCAGCATTATTCTTGTTTTAATACTCATTGAGGCTTTATCATCCTATTTATAACTTGTTCTAATATTTTTCTTAATGCATTAATTCCTATTTTACTCATGAATCTCATGGCTTTATTGGTTCATAGGGTTTTAACAGGTTGGCGATCATGCTTCTTACAAGTTCTTGCAATATTGGTGAGAATGACATGCTAGAAATCAATTCTAGCTTTCGTGGGATCACAGGCTATTCAGGAGAGATTATATTTTCAAAAATGTGTGAACCAAATCTAGAGCCAAAATTTGTTGTAACCACGCTATTGCTAATGGGGTAAGTGAGAAAACTTAGATTCAAATCATGAAAATTTTTATTTTATCTAAATTGCAACAAATATTTGTTACTTTTATAAATAACCATTCTTAGATGTTATTGCATTGAGTTTCTTGTTAGCCCTATGAATACAAGAAATGTATTCAACACAATTAATACATCATTACAAACACCATAATCCAAATATACTTTTAACCATATATGATGATAAACAGTTTTGTAGTACTTATTGTTAGTCCCGCCAAAACTTTATATATGCTGAAGTGGAAGTAAGATGCATTGTTTTAGGATACAATAGCAAGTAGTTAGGTGCTGCATTTTGTAAAGATTTGTTTACATAGAATTATGTGGCTTGTTTTTTAACTCCAATAAAAAATCAGAATGGATAGATTGGTCTTGAATCATAATATTTTAACTTAAGAAAATGACCAAAATAGTTTCCCACTATTTGTGGGGGACTATTTAGTTTTAAAGTTTATAAAATGTCTAATTTTACTCTGTAGGTTCCTTAAATAGGAGCCAAAATAATAGTACAATCAGAAGTAATAGAAATTGCTATTAAAATTAATAGATGGGATTAAAAATGAAGGTATTCTAATATACATATTTTTATTGAAATTTTTACAAAATGTATAGGCATAGCAGCCGGCTTCACATATGTAGGTGTGATTTGAGATCTTGCACATTATGGAATGAGTTTATTTTTATAAGACTTCACATACATAGCAGTCGGTTCAATATATATTATTTATTTTGTTTAAATAAAATTTTTCATATTAAAATTCTATTTAATTACAACAACAACGACAACATCAAGTCTTTATCCCACTACGTGGGGTCGGCTACATGAATCCTTTTTCTCCATTGTGTCCTATCAAAGGTCAAATTCTCGTTTAAATCTAATAAAAAATGTCATTCCTAATATTTTTCTGACAAAGTCTTTTTAGGTCTGCGTCTACCTTTCTTAACATAAGTCAAATCTAATACCTATACTCCCCTAATCGGGTCATTGGAAGGCCGTCGTTTTATGTGACCAAACCATCTAAGGCGACTCTCTCTAATCTTATCTTCTACTGGAGCTACTCCAACCTTTTCACGTATATGCTCAATTTGTATACTATCTTTAAGGGTAAAGCCACTCATCCACCTAAGCATCCTCATCTCTGCCACACTTAACAA